AGTTAGGTGTCCTCCTGAGTCAATTTTATTGTATTATTTTTTTGTAGTTCTTTTATTTAATGCACGTTTGAAAAATTAACAAAAAACAAATTAGGAAAATTGATTTATTGTTTTATTTTATTTAAAATATTTTCATTCATAAGTTTCATCGTTGTTTCAAATTTTCTGTTCGCTATATGATACTCTTTTGTTCCACATTTGATACAAATATCAGAAAATTTGGAACAACGATGACACCTAACCTCCATATGTTCCTGCTGCTGCTGCACAGCAGAGCAATAAAACCACGCAATCGCATTCGTAAAAAAACTTACATTTTTTTATTTTAATTTAGTTTTATTAATAAAATAAAAACAAAAATAATGAGCCGTCATTAGGTGTAAAAAATAGAAATTTTATCTAAAGCGGGTCGACCTTTATGTGTTTGTATATATTGGTACCGCTTTGCAGCGGTATACGCGTATTCAAGCATACTTTCCGCTGAGTAATTGAAATATAATATTTATTTTTTTACATAATTCGTCACGACATTAATTTTTTACCTTTTTCACATCATTTCACATTGTTTTTTTTATATGATTGTCCGAGAATGAATGTGAGACTTCTCCTGGGAGTTTATTGAAATGTAACACCGCCATACAAAAAATGCTGACTGTCAGCAATTTTTGTATGGCGGTGTTACATTTCAATAAACTCTCAGGAGAAGTCTCACATTCATTCTCGGACATTCATATTTATATAATAAATAAATCCCGTACAAAATTCAATACAATAACTGTCAAGTGTAGTTTTGTTAATAGGGATTGATAAGTTTCTCGCGTGGTCCACCTGTTAAAGCGCTGTCGTCGACTTTTTCCACAAGTTTGTAGTGGGTGTTTTGCCCCAAATGTCATATCGTGAACCCCTCTACCACATGCAGCATTTTGAAATAAAAAATCTGGCCAATCCGCGGATGTTTAATCATAAGAGAATGCAAATTACATCATTTTTCATATAAAATTGATCAGAAATGACATGTGGATCTGGCCAGACTCATGTGTTACGAATGTGACTCTCCGGACATGTGTACAACGGGAGGTTAAATGGCGAGAAATTTGCTCTCAAAACTTATGCAACACATGTCACATTAATCAGTATAATTAAAGATTTGATTGCCCGAGAATCAAAGCGAGACTTCTATTCACAACTTATTGAAATATAACACCATCATACAAAATATGCTGACAGTCAGCACTTTTTGTATGGCGGTGTTACATCTTCTATTATATAAATACGCAAACATCAAAAGTTTTGTACCTCTCCTGCCCACAATTTTCATCGGATCGAAATTTCAAGCATCAAAATTGTGGTCAGGAGAGCGAAAAATGTGCATACGTGTATTTTGCATATAAAATGTATGTAAACACGCATATATGGACATTTTTCGCTCTCTTGGTCACAATTATGATCGGATAGAAAATTTAAGCATACCGTTGGAAAGGTATTAACGGCCTCTATCTGCATCATCTCATAGTTCGGAGGGCAAGGGTTCATTTTTATATTATTTTGACCCCCGCCCTCAGAATTGGGTCATTCAGGGCGGCCAAAACTATATACCACTGGAAACTACATTGATATGCGTAACTTTCATAGACAGAAACTTATTTGCCCATAAGGGGTGAATATCTCATTGTGAAGTTACAATGAATGGGGGTATTTTCACTTTTCGACCCGAATCGAAGGTACAAGCTAGACGAAGTGAAACATAGGTCAAGAGAGATTGACAATGTATGGAGCTTAGGGTGGTCCAAATCTCACTATCTGAACGGATTGTTGTTCCCCGACCGGTTTTGTTAATTTTGGTCCAAAACTAGGTAACTGGCATCATTACATTGTTTAAAGGTTGAAAAAACGACCCGACCCCGACCATATCAAAAATACCTTATTTTGCTCGTTTTTTTGACTTTCAAACGAAAAAAAGTGTATAAAGCAGATTAATAAATGAAAACTAGATGGCAAATTCAATCTGGCACCAAACTTAATCGAATGGATCAAATCATATTTGTCAAATCGTTGTCAATTCGTCAAATATGGTCAGATGGAGTCAAGCGAGTTTGTCGTACACTCAGGAGTGCCACAAGGTAGCCATTTGGGCCCCACACTATTCTTATTGTTCATTAATGACATTGTAAGTTCAATAAGTGCCGACGACATTTTTATCTCTCTGTTTGCTGACGACTTGAAACTGGCAACTTCAATTGAAAACATCAATGATACCAACAAACTACAATCAGCAATCAACAAATAAAAACTTTGGTGCGAAGCAAACAAACTGCATTTGAATCTGGATAAATGCTCGATCATGTCCATATCGAAAAAGAGAGAAAATTTAATAAACTCGTACTCATACGGCAATCACAATTTTAAAAGGGTTAGTGAGCAAAGAGATTTGGGAGTCATCTTCGACAGTAGGCTCAACTTCGTCAAGCACATCGATTCAATTGTGGCCAAAGCGACATCAGCTTTTGGATTCGTGAAACGATTCAGCCACGATATTCCTGATGTCCATACCCTGAAATCGCTTTACTGTGCTCTTGTGCAGTCAGTTTTGGAATATGGCAGTTTAGTGTGGCTACCGTATCATGGCATACACAAAAACAAAATCGAGTCATGCCTGCGTCAATTCACAATGTTCGCACTCAAAGAATATCCAAATATTTCAAACAACTTTCAAATATCATCATACAGCACTCGTCTAGGCAAACTCAACATGCAGTCACTTCAAAGACGCCGTATAAATGCCTCAATTTTATTTATATTCGATCTACTGCATAATAAAATTCATTGCCCATTACTGAAGATGGAAATCGCTCGAAATCAAAATGAACGCAACCTGAGAAATATCGCTTATTTCAAAATCAACGACAAATTATTAAGAATCAATCCAGATCAACATTCAAAAATCGACTTTTAGCTTTAAGTGATGAACACTTTTCAACTTGTCATTAGTATCTAATCATAATGCTGTTTTCTTGAACGATCAAATGTGGTCCATTGTGATATCTATTTTATTTTAATGCTTGACTCATTTTATCCAGTGCAATTTGAAAATTTTATTTTACTACAAATATTTATTTATTTATGATCAAATTATTTTTTGTATTATATCTCAAATATTGAAAAGATGTGGTTTTTAACGGTGATCAGATGTAATATGCATCGTTGATTCATACCTTTTTCCCACCAATACATGTATATAAATATGTACAAACTCAAACATGATTCAGCCAGTATTTGACGGTGAATAAAGAAAGATTATAATTAGGGTGGAACATTTTCGGCATAATTTTGCGGCCACTTGGAAAAACATGTCTTATTGTCTACAGATTCAAGATATAAAAGAATTTTCATCTTTATATTTGATATAAGTGAGCGACTTGAATAAGAGGGGACCATTCCACTGGGAAATCATAAAAAAAATCAGTGACCTAATCACTGTGAAAACGTCTGAATTTCAACAAAAACGACCTCTAATGCAAAATTTTTGTTATTCAGCTCAAATAGAAAAAAAAAGTATTGGCTGTTAGGAAAATTATTTCAATTTGCTAGGGTTTTTTTTGTAAAAATTAAGAACTTTTTTAGCGCTTCAATTTGGTGCAAGAATTCTTTCGGTTTGCTAAGTTGTTTTGGAGTGGAAAGAAAATCCCTCTTTTTGCTAGTATTTTTCGTGCGCAAAAACTCTTTCAATTTGCTGGGAATTTTTTTTCTAACCCCCACTTAAGTGAAAAATCCCCATAGAATTGTTAGCTTGCGCCACAGCAATGAAATCCCTACTACCGTGCTAGATGGTGTCGATACGAGTGGACGGATTTTTAAATTTATTTGAACGACGCCATGTTACTATACTTGTCCATTACAACGTAAATGTAACAGAAGAAACACACAGTCCATGTCTAGGGGGTAGACACGTGGAATAGGATTAGACTTTTAGTGTAAAAATTCGAGAAATTAAAGTGGAATAGACAATTCAGTAGTTGGATTCACATGGATTCACTAATCCCATGTATGGAATAGCAAAAATGGGTTAGATTCAATGTTTTTGTAATCGATAGTACAGAATTTGATCAAAGCATTGAACTTGTTTTAAGATAGTAATTTGTTCTTTTTTGAGATATTTTTTTGTTTAAAAGTCGATTACAAATTTACAAAACAATAGATAGACTTTCTCAAAATTTTATTGATGAAAAAAATAATTTTAATTATCAATAACAAAATGTCATACTCCAGTGTCGATAAATAAGTTTTCAACAAAGTGAATAGCGGCGAAATGTGACATCATATTTGACAATTAAATGACGGATTGGTGGAATAGTAGGATTACTGTTTATATATTGGAATCATGGTTTAATCGTTTGTGTCTCCCCCCTAGGTCCATGTCCTCGCTAGTGGACATAGACGATTTGAACCGTCAATGGGAACTGGATCAAGTATAGAACTTTACATAGAATCATATACGATGAATACGGATTACACAGTCTGTTTCAAAATACCGTCACCAATGTCGACACCATTTGACATCAAAATTTTGACAGTAAAAATATGTGTTATTGTTGTTGTCGTTTCATTGCTGTGGCTTGCGCACCGCTGATTTCGTATACACATACGCTGATGTATTTAGTAAATTAATGGAAACAAATACATAACCACCTGTTTGGCAACTAAAATCTGACAGTTATCGAATGAAAATACGACGAAAAATTGTTTGTCACCAATAATGTAAATTATGACATGTTGTTTTTGTACCAATATTCTAATTATAGAAGATATTTGTTTTTGTTTTAAAAATAATAAATGCATGATATTATATACTATATTCGTATGAAATCAATTTGAATCGTTGCGAAGAATGTTCTATATTCTAAAACTATACTTCTTATGGAGCGATACTGTGTAACATGGTAATAGAAAAGGAACGTTTCACATTTTTGATTTGAATATAAAGAAAAGCTCATTTTACTTACGTGGTGTCAAGTCTTCGTATTTATTAAATGCAGTACCATCGCAACGTAGAGTCATTACTAGTTTTTACATATAACACAAAATCGTCAAAATAGTTTGGTTTTTTGCTATGATTGCAAAATATTTCACACAAATAGATAAAACGAATTATTTTTACATGCCAGTTGACAGTTTAATCTGTGAATCAGAACTAATAACGCCCCAGTTGATGAGTTTTCTATGTAATGTACAAAAATGTTCGCTGGCGAGGAATAATTGAAAATAAAATACACGGCCACAGAACAAAACAAAACAACTAAAAAGAAAAATTGCAGTAATTTTTACTGAAGAATTTGCTTGAAAATATGAGGTACGTTTTTGAAATATGTAAAAACAATCAATTTTTTAAAGACAAACCACTGGGAAGCCATATACATGCACTATTTGTAGATGTTGTTATTTTATGGAATAAAATCCTATGCAAATTATTATAATTCAAACTCAATTGCTCATGTTATCTCACATTATTTTCTTTTTCATTTCATTTTGTTTCTATTTCCGTTCAAATGTTTTGACAGTTCTCGTTCATTTTCTCTTTTCATTGCTATGAAGCATGCGTATATATGAAATGTTTGTTGTCAATCATTCTTGTGACAAAACTGCTCTACTACAATTTCTATTTTAATATGTAGTTGTTAACTTTATTTTTGTATAAAAAAATATTTTTAGTTGAAACTTAATTTTCATTGAAATATGTAATATTCAGTTGAAATCTTCAGTTTTAACTTTGCTTTTTTTCATTCGTCAATGCAAAAGCATCTGTTAGAGTGATAGATTGAATAACACTACAGTACTAGATCAATGAGAAATCGTATGTTCAACGAAGTGACATTTTGCCTTTTACATAATAATTTTGTTACGATAGAGAATTTTTCTCGCATACACACATTTTCGTCAGGCGTTCAAAAGACAGAAGTTTCTTTTTAGATTTTAAGTCTATTCTACATTCCGACAATTGAAACTATAAACATCGAAAATGGTAAATAAAGTGAACGAAAAGTAAAAAGTAAGTATAATTAATACAGTTTTAATGAACATTTTTTGGTTACTTTGCTAGATTTGGATGCAAAAACTCACTGGTTCTGCTGCGGCAGTGAATTCCATCGTTGCAAATGGTGTGTATGCTCAACAAAGCCGTAACATGGCCACTCTGAAAGCCATTTCAATTCGTTTGAAGTCAGTAAAAAATATCCAAAAAATCACCCAATCTATGAAAATGGTGTCAGCCGCTAAGTAAGATAATGTTGTGACTATTCTACTATGAAATTCTTTCTAATACATTCTATTTCAATTAACAGGTATTCCCGTGCTGAACGTGACTTAAAACAAGCTCGCCCATTTGGCGAAGGAGCCACGAAATTTTATTCGGTGGCTGAAATCGAACCACCAAAAGAAAATCAAAGGGAGCTTCTTGTAGCTGTGACATCTGACAGAGGTAAAGATTTTTTTTTGGCCGGTACCAAACATCACATTTTTATATTTTTATTATTAATCAAACCACCATCGAAAATCATTTTTTTAAGGTCTTTGTGGTGCTGTTCACACTGGTGTTGCACGTTCCATTCGTAACGATCTTCAATCGCGTACAGAAAGTACCGAGAATACGAAAATCGCTTGTGTCGGTGATAAAAGTCGTGCAATTTTACAACGCCTGTTTGCCGATAAATTCATATTCGTTGGCAATGAAGTCGGTCGCATTCCACCAAATTTCTTGGACGCATCGAAAATTGCTAATCAAATTTTCGAGTCTGGTTACGATTTCTCTCATGGTCAAATCATTTACAATAAGTTCAAAAGCGTTGTCTCATACGCATGCAGTTCGGTGCCAATTTTTAGCGTGAAAGCTGTTGAGTCTTCAGATAAATTGGCCGTTTACGATTCACTAGATTCTGGCGTTCTAAAGGATTACCTTGAATATTCATTGGCTTCGCTTTTGTATTATACAATGAAAGAAAGTGCTTGCTCCGAACAATCATCACGCATGACAGCTATGGACAATGCTTCTAAGAACGCTGGTGAAATGATTGATAAACTTACTTTGACATTCAACCGTACTCGACAGGCAGTCATCACTCGTGAATTGATTGAAATTATCTCCGGAGCTGCCGCTTTGGAATAAGCTCTTTAATTATCAATGTACACCGTGTTCCGCCTACAAATAACAGCCAATATTATTTTATCATTCCAGTTATTTCAATAGTTACACAAAAAACATTCTGAAAACTTTAAACGATATTGCAACTACAAAATGATAGGCATTTATTTCTGCAATTTATATAATTTGGCTAATTCAATTTATTCAAAATTAATTTGTTTCAAAAACAATGCAAAATTGGAATGTTAAATAATAAAAAAATCGATATGAAGAAAAGAAAAGTTTTTTAATTGAAAATTTTGAAATTTTTTTTATAAGGCATTGAATTTTGATCATATCATTAAAATAATTTTATAAAATCCTTGCTTTGTTCAGTAAACATACTAGCAATAGATGAAATGAAATGATCGATATGGCAAGAGAAGTAAAAAATTGTTTTTATGATGAATGATAATGGATCAATACCTATTTAAATTATTACCATTAGTAGTTTTGATAATCAATAAACAAAATGAATATAGAGCCTATTTATTTATGCAAAGTTGTTCATAATAATCATTTATCTCTTTTTGGTAAGTAACGTATTTTGCATGGTGACGATTACAGACCAATACACCTCTTCATCGTCCATTATTTAAAAAATGTAATTATTATAAATTACTAAAGTCTCTTTTATTTTTAAAAAAAGTCCTAAAAATACAGTTTAATTAATTACATTCAGTGTAAATATTTCTAGCAAAATTTTGTTTTTTTATATCATTTGTAAATCTCATTTTCAGTTAGTTCCGCTCGGATAAAATTTATTTAGAAAAAATTATTCTAATTTTGATTGTTTTGCTTGGATTTTTTCACGTATATTATGTATTTCTTGGTTTATTTTCAGAGATTATATTAGCTCACTGAATCGCTGTAAATAATTATGCTTCGAAATGTGATTGACAGTATACAATATATAATATAATTATAAAACCGATTCTATGTTACGCGCGCAATGTAAGCACAAAACAGTTATGAGCTATGAACATTCGAAGATATATTCATGTTGATTAGTCAACAAAACTAAATACCTGTTAAATTTTTTCTAAATAATACAAGCTACTGATCAATTCTTTAATTTGAATTATTAAATTGGCAATAAATCTTAGTTTTTTTAAAAACTATTATTTAGCAAAGTCCATAGTTTCCTTCGTAGAGGCTTTCACACTGACGCATTAGTTGAAGTAATGGTGTAATATCATATGGAAATAGTCTCTGGAACACCAAACGATCCAATTTCAAGCGCAGCTGAATCAGAACGTCCATCACACGTTTATATTGTTGTTTTTCGGAATGACAGTTAGTTCGCATAGCACTGGATGAACTATGCCACTTGTTGCAATGATTTTGAAACATTGTCCAGTCACTGCGAATGTATTTGAGGAAACGCAGAAAATAGAGGAGGAAACAAGTCTCATCAGTGATTAAAAAATCGAGCATTGTTTGCATACCGTATTGAATCAATTCTAAAAATTCTAAAAAAGTGTACACTGGACTAATTATTTCGATAAGCATTCGTAATATTGGCCGATCATTGTTTGAATTGCTCGATTGACGGTTTGTTGTACTGCCGAATGGGGGTTGTCGTGGTAAAAAAGCAATAGTTGTACCCAACATACACAGCATTGCTTCAAGTAAATAATCATCTTGATTGCTGAACAGGTGCACTATCACTTTGCTGAAATGCGTTTCGGGATGGAAATTCAATTTATTTCTCAAGAAAGATTGAATTTTTTCGAACGCATCCTTTGTTACTTGCTCAATATGTGTCCAATCATTTTCAACTGTTTCCACACTACTGCTGCTACTGCAACTATCCATCGAACTATCCGATGAATCACCACCTCCGATCGGTCTTACGGTAACAGCAATGGCCTTCAATACTAAGAGCACTAATTTTTGTAGTAAAGTAAAATCGATCGATTTATTAAAATGTTCATTTAGTTCTAGCTCAATTTCGGAACTTTCGCTATCGTCATCATCACTGTCGTCATGTTGATTTTTTTCATTTTCTGTACTCAAACAATACGATGAGACATCATAAACTATGGTTGAATGTTTGTAACCAATGAAATTGATACTGTTTTCGGCTTCAATCTCATGATTTGGTAACGACGAAAAGATATTATTTCTATTATCTTTCGCACTGTTGAATAGCTGGGTGGCCAAATCAGTTGTGGCTTGTGGCACTTCTGGTTGCAGAGCCAATGTCGTTGTATAACACAATGATGCACTAA